TTGGCTGTTCTTCAGCTTTCTTAGGTAGGTGGCCATCTGGCCTCTTCTTGACAAGCTTCAGTGAAGGAAATTCTACAACTTCCCTAAGCAATTATATTCCCTGTCTGCCACCCATTATTGTTTTTTTTTTCTACTTATCCTGTACTAAGCTCTTTGGAAGAAGAACAGTATGTGTGTATAGTGACTAGCACAAAGAAGCCCTGATCTTTTTCAGGCTTCTACATGCCATTTAAATAATAATAAACTCTAAACTCAGAGAATAAATAATAATTCTCTAAACTCAGAATATGAAGGATGACATAAAGATCCTGGCCCTTCATGCATGTGCCCTCAGTACCCCTATATATACAAACAGTGTCAGTTTGTAAGATGCCCAAGGACTCTTCTCATTCTTCTTTTCCAAAGCTGAAAGCCTATCCTCACACTTACAGTTGATTGTTTGACAACAGTGTTGAGGCATACTACTAGTAAGGGAAGGGAGTTTGCACTACTGGGGTGCGTCCAGATGAGCACTCGTGTGTTTCCCCAGGGACAAACAGTAGTGGCACATAATGTGCCACTACTACTTGTTCCTGGGGAATGCCTGTGCATGCATACTCTGGCATGTGGCAAGTTACCCCAAATGAAGTAAAGGAGGCAGTACCTGGGCTCGCCCCAACAGCTTTATCTGGAGTCCTGGGGGCCTCCCAGGGCTCTGGCAGTGGTGATCTATAGGGCTGTGCGAAATGGCATCATTCTGTTTCAATGGAACAGCATTTCATTTCAAATTTTGTTTCGATTCGAAACTGCTGTTCTGTTTTGTTTCATCGAAATGGTTTCATTGTTTCGACGCTGTTTCAACATTTTGCCCATAGGCTATAATGGGGAAGCTCAAAATAGCCTAAAACGTAGTCATTTCTGGCCTGATTTGGGTGAAACTTGCAAAAAATGGTAGCTTCTTCTGAGGGCATGAAGACTGCCAAGTTTCAAGGAGATAGGTGCAGGGGTTTCAGGGAAACGGCACTTCAGCGTCTTGAAAGAAAAAATTCATGTCATGTGTACGTGTTAAGCCACAGTGGGGTCAAAACTGCAGGTCTGCTAGCCTCTGCTGAGGCCACGAAGCCTGCCAGCTTTGAAGGAGACAGATGTGGGGCTTCTGGCTTCTGGGGCCCTGCACCTCTGGCTGCTGATGGGCAAAACCCGCTACATGGCTGCTTGTGGGACTGTATCTGTCTTGAGGCACAGGGGGGTGAAAACTGAAGGCCTGCTAGGCCCTGCTGTGGCCACAAAGTCTGCCAGCTGTCAAGGAGATCGGTGCAGGGGGAGTCTGGGTTCTGCGGCCCTGGACCTCTAGCTGCTGACAGGCAAAACTCATGACATGGGTGGGTGACACTCTGCGTGTGTTAAGGTGCGCCCTCACTCAACTGACACCAACGCAGAAAGCAGGGCAGTTCAAAAAATGTTGCCTTTTATGCAGTTTTTCCAGCCCACCCCCAGAGCACTGGGATTGGAAGGGACCTCAGGAAAGGATGACAGTCACTGGCCAGCTACACAGTCAATAATGAGAGCACTCCTTCCCCCACCCCCTCCTTACTTTAGTTTCTGTTTCCCTGCAGGCAAGCCCAGCTTGAGCTTCGAAACTTGAAACGTTTTGAAATTTTTGAAATGTTTTGACTTGCTTCATTTCATTTCAAGGCTATTTCAAAGCTCTCTGTTTCACTTCAATTTCACTGGTTCAAGCTTGAAACAAGTTGAAACAGCATCAAAATGAAACTGCTGGTGAAATTTCACACAGCCCTAGTGATCCAGTGATGCAGAGCCTGGCCAGCAGCTGGAATGTAGTTCTGGATGGCCAGGCTTTGGTTTTGGGTGGTGCATGCTGCCACCATGTGTGCCATCCCACTTTTTTCTGCCGCAAGTTTTTCTGACACTGGGATCTCCTGATCAAAAATCTTGCAGTGCTGCAAATTAGCAGTGTGGCAAATGCCTGCATGTGCTGCATGTACAGTTTGCAGTGCCACAGATGGGTCTGCAGTGCTGCAAACCACAGGTGTGCACTTGTCTGGATGTGCCCCAGATGGCTAAGATATACTTGTATGGTGGATAAGCAGAAGGTTTCAAAGTTTCCAGTGCTATGTATTTGCTACTTCTCTGTGGGCAAGAAATTTGTGTTATTAGAAACACAATTTATTGTAAAAATGAAAGAAAACAAAATAAATCTGTGAAAAAGTAGAGGCTGGGGGGAAAAGGGCTCATGTGAAGGACTTGTGAATATGGGATCCAAACCACGTATTGTGACAATGCCTGAGGCTCTATGAAGATGGTTTATCTGAAGTGTTTTATTTCTCAGTTAAGTGTCATATTCTGCCTTCTGAGACAAATTTTCAAGAATTAATTGTTTTTCAAAGCTTGATTTTCAAAAGTACTGGAAACCAGCATGTGCCATTGACTTTAGCTGGTAATGTGACTGTTCAGCACTTCTGAACATCAGGCCTGAATGGGACCTGTATAGTAACAGATGTGACAGCTGGATCTTTTGTGGTTGTCACTGCACTCCTGGCATGGAGAGACATAGACTATTGATCTATTATATGGATGCTGAATTTGTAACATATTGGGCTTGATCTTCAACTGTACCAAAGCAGCATCCAATGCAGCAGAAATGAAGTATTTGGTAGCAGATAGAAAGTGTGTAGGAGGCTGTACAAAGTGGTGTCTCTGCTCATTCCTTCACACCATCCCTCACTCTAAGTTCATCCTCCCAGAATCTATTCAGCAAGTTTTCATCCATACCTTATGTACTTGTCTCTACAGATGTACTCCTAAAGCGTTACCTGCAGAAAATAAACATGTTTGCCACTTAGTGAACTGAAAACTTTGGTGTATCAAGACACTGAATCAAACCTTTGGCTCCACTTTGCCCTTTTTTGCATTGCTCCAGAGCTACAGGGAGTTGGCCTCCTGATGATTTCCTCCTGATGTTCTCTCCAGTGCACAGGAGTTGCCAGGAGCTATAGAGCCTGGATAGAAGTTCTATGTCCATGCAGGCCTTCTCCTCCAAGTTTAAAGAGGATTAGCCTAGTAAAGAGGACATGACTAGGAAGTCCCTTCACTCCAGTAGTCCTCAGGTACTGGAATAGCCTCCTGAGGCTACAGATAACCACATGAAACCTACAGTGACCTCAGACAGTTCTAAGTCATGTCAGGGGCTGAACCAGCCTCTGACTAGCCTCAGGATCAGGGAACCACAAAGGTGGAATAGTCAGACTTAAACACAGTTCTCTTTGCTGCACTGGATACTGCTCTGGTATAGCTGGCAATCAAGTTCACTATGGATCAACTCAGCATCCATAGAATAGATCCATGATCCACAACTCCCCATGCCAGGAAAGCAATGACTGGATTGTGACTAATCCAGGAGCCAAAGGGCAGAGCCGAGGAGGAAAAGCTTCCCCTCCTTAACTACATATACCTTGGAAACCTGCCTATACACAACCATGGAGGCTGCTCCAATGAGCTGTAATTACATTGGAGCAGACTCGATTAATCGAATTACATTGGAGTATGCTTGAATGAGCTGGTCGAATGACATTAGTTCAAGTGCCCCCGCAGCCATTTTGAAGTACAGGGATGCTGATACATGAGACATTGTGTCACTTTAATTAAAGTGGATGTTGGAGCAGCTCTAATTAAAGCACTTCCCCCCCAGAGCATGTGTAAAAGTGGTGCTAGTTGCATAATTGAGGCCTCTGTATAAATCATTCAGTTTCCAATATTTAGCATTATACCAGAATACATGGAAAGCACATACTCAACCACTTGGTTTGGCTTTTAAAATGTTTGGTCAGGTCTGACTTCTCTTCCAAGGAAAATATAAGTGGTATTTATATCTTCATCAGAGAGCATGAAAATATACATTGGACTATGATCTCTGCTATCTGATCTTCATCTTCACTTATTAATAAGCTGTGTCGTGAACAAAGTACGGTAATAAAGCAGGTGGGTGTTAAATTTGAAAACCTTGTCCATACATACAGCAATACATATTGCTGTATACTTAGAATTTGTGCTATGAAAAATTTTATTTCCACAAGTTTGGGATGAGCTCACTACTTCATGAGCAGTGGAGTCTAGAGTGAGTTACATATGTTTTCCCAGACAGGTGGTAGTAGCAACTACATGGTGCATTGTAGCACTCCGGCACTCTGTGTTTTTTTTATTGCCAGCAACTTGAAGTGTTTGTTCTCTTAAAAACATCTGTCTGTTTTTAACTCTTGAAGTAGCCTGTGTCAGTTACTACAACATAGAAATGTGTCATTGGCATGGGTATACCTTAGTGGTGTTTATTAATAAGATTATAAAAAGTTGAAATATACCATATCTTGGGAAATATGAATTTATGTAATGTGGGATGAGAATGGCTAAGCTGATGCTTTCTTTTCCAGTTCAAAGATGAAAAATGCCATCACTTTAGCATGGCACTGGAGTATTTTTTCTACAGAATATTAATAGTGGACATTTGCTCCTTGCTGGGGCTCTTAGACACCAACTTCCTGGATGAAATCCTGACTTCACTGAAATCAATGACAAAAACCTATTGATTTAATGGAACCAGGATTTCACTCTAGGCTGGCTTTAGGGAAAAGCCTGCCTCCTGTCCTGAGTTACAGATGTATGCAGTAGTTGACCCTCTATGATTTGCCCAGGCAGACCTCAGGAACACTTCAGCCCCATTTAATCCTCAAAACATGCACAAGTAAAATTATAAACCAATAGTTACATACATTAGTGATAGTTTAAGGGGAAGTGCAAAAGAATAAGATAGGAATGTTGCTTGTAATATTGCCTGAATACAGAACCTGGTTTAATTCTAAAGGCAGCTTTGTTTACTTCAGCCAAAAAACAGCAGTTACCAATTCATTACCAGGACTCCTGGAGTCTAGAAGAACAGAATTAACTTTTTAAGGGACCTCATATAACTGAAGCTCTGGGAGTGAAAGCATCATCTTTTATTCTCTTACCTGGTTGCCTCCATATGCCAAGATAGCTCTAGTCAGATCTTGGAGAGTGTGCAATTCTATATGTAGTTTCTTTCTTCTGTGCCTGTGGCCTTGTGGGCCCTTCCTCCCTCCTCTCTGTTTCCATGAGGGTTCAGCCAGATCTTCAGAATAGAGCACCAGTGCACCTGTTCTCGTGCTATAGGTTTTTGGAAGATACAGACTCCAACCTTCCTTCATGACACTCCTGTCAGTCAGTGATTTGCTAACATGGCGATAACTTTCACGAGCCTTCCAGTTCAAATAATCCTAGCAAAAATAAAAAAAAATAAAAATGTAGGATGGACTCTGGAAGGGGGGAAAAATCACATATCTGGAGTTTAGAGTTTGTGGTATACCAAATATGCAGGAAATTCTTCTTTGCTTACTGGCTTTCACTGCTGTGGCTGTATCTGATGTCATCAGAAAATGTATCAAATGTAGCTTTGTCTTCTGTACCTAAGAATTACTGCACTGCACAGCTAGGTTCTGAACTAATTACATTCTCAAATAATCCACTGATGTCAGGAAATTCTCCTGAAAACTGAGTGTTCACACTGAGCCAAACCTTGAATGGCTTACAAAGGTTTTACTGAATTCTTACTCAGACAGAACTTTCTTTGATTTCATTGAGAATGCTCACTGGCTTCTCAATTCCTTTATGGGGATTTAAGAATGAGGCTCAGAGTCTTTCTTGATTCAGGTTAAAGGAGGTTCCCCTTCAGAAAAGTGTGGGGACATTTTAGGATATTTATCTTTAGGCTAGCAGATCTATTGGGCTGTAGATTATGCTCAAATGTTGGAAAACCTCACTTAGGACTGCTCAGACGGGAATCGACAAACACACTGCCAAATGTCCTGGATGAACTGTTAAGACCTTTCCATCTCTAACTTTTTGATTCACCACAAGACATTTTTCTTAGTGTTTATACAATGTAAATAATGAAAGTGACAGTACAGTACAGGTTTATGTGGGTTCTGTATGTGCGAATTCGCTCTTATGCAATGACCATTTTAATACCAAAAATTCATTATATGCGAGGTAAATTCACTCTTATGCGATCAGTGTGGTGGAAGCCTGCAGTCAGCTGCTTTGTGCGGTGCATTGTGGGAGTGATGCGCACCAAAAATATAGTCTTCTGTGTGGATCTGTGCTCCTTGCTCATTGTCTGTGACACATGTTTCTGTAGTTGCCATCCCCATTATGATAGTGCCCTGCGCTTGTGTGTACTATGTGCTGTTGGTGAGTACCAAAATTATCTTGTAAAAGTGGTAGAAGTGGGTCTGGGGGTCAGTACAGTCGAGGTCTTGGAACATATTCCTATTTGTTACATTGTAAAGTGGGTTCCCTTTATGCGAATTTGCGTTATGTGCTGTTTTCCAGGAATGTATGTGCAGCATAAAGCGAGGGAAACTTGTATGTAGTGTACTGAGAAAAGTAACAGGTGTCTGATGATAAATTATGAAGCCTAAATTTTATTTATAAACTAATGGTGTTGCAATGTGAAAGGTACTTGTTTGTTTCTTTCCTTCTTTCCTTTCTTCTTGGCACATCTGCACATATATTAATGAGATTTTCCTAATGCACATTAAATTTAGTACCTCCAATGTGAGGGCATCTATACACGAGTATGGAGACTGCTCCGACACAATGGAATTCCAGTGTGTCTGAGCACACTTGATTAATTAAGTCTGCTGGAGCATGGTACTTACCATGGCAGTGGGGGCACTTTAACTAAAGGTCCCCCCAAAAATGTCTTCCTCTCTGTTACTGCAAGTAAGTCTTTACTGGTGGAATAGTAAAGCAAGAGTTAGTTCCCTATACATACTGTAGTAACTAGGCTAGGGACAGAAATTATACATAAACTGGCATAATCTGTAACACAACAGAAGTTCAGAGCATGTAAACCACTTTCAAAATGGCTGAAACCTGTTTAAGATAAACCTGGATGGATACAGTATCAGACTTAACTGATTTAGGTTAAATCGGTTTATTGAACTGCTGTCCCAGATCCCCTCCAGATTCAAGTTAACTCACAGTCCCCCAGCATGCTTTGCACGTCCCTGCTGCCCCCATAGGGTGGGTGGACTAGCCTTGGCCCATACTATCTGCTCCAGCTGAGCAGGAAGGCATGCTCTGGCCTGAGCCATTGCAGGCATGTGGCTGGATTTCCAGAATCAAAAGTGAATGTCTGTTCACTTGATTTCTGGTTCAATCTACACAGCTTAGATTAATCTGTGAAGATTGAATTGATTCAGCATCAGGTTTTTGACTACCTGTACTTAGCCTAGACAATGATCTAATTTGGGGATTTTTTCAAGAATGGGTATCTCTCTTAAAAATATCCATTGGCTGCATGGCAATGCAGACCGGCATTACAGAACAAAAATTATGGCCATCTTCTCTGGAGGAATGTGTGAATGTTGTGAACACTGGATGTGTTTAAGTCAGCAGGCCTGGATGATCTTCATCCAAGAGTACTGAAGGAATTGGCCAGTGTCATAGCAGAGCCACTGGCACAGCTGTTTGAGCACTCTTGGTGCTTAGGTCAGGTCCCAGAGGACTGAAAAAGGACCAATGTGGTCATTATTTTCAAGAAGGGGAGGAAGGAGGATCTGGGTAACTATAGACTGGTTAGTCTCACCTCTATCCTTGGAAAAACCTTTGAAAAAATTATTAAGGATTACATTTGTGGGAGTCCAGCAGGAAAAACAATGCTGAAGGGCAACCAGCACAGATTCATAGCAGGTAGATTCTGCCTTACTAACCTTGTTTCTTTTTATGACCAGGTCACAAAATGCTTAGATGCAGGAATCGAGGTAGATGTCATCTACTTGGATTTTAAGAAGGCCTTTGATATGATATCTAATCCTATTCTCACAGATAAACTGAGCAGCTGTGACATAGATGATTACACAGTTAGGTGCGTGGCAAATTGGCTTAGGGGTCACACCCAGAGAGTGGTGGTGGATGGGTCAGTATTGACCTAGAAAGATGTGGGCAGTGGAGTCCCACAAGGCTCAGTCCTTGGACCAGTGCTGTTCAATGTCTTCATCAGTGACTTGGATGAGGGCGTGGAAAGCACTCTGTCCACATTCACAGATGATACCAAATTATGGGATAAAGTTAACACACTAGAGGGTAGGAAGTAAATCTAGGTGCATCTGGACTGGTTGGAAAAGTGGGTGAAACAGAATAGGATACAGTTCAACAAGGACAAGTGCAAGGTGCTGCACCTAGGGAGAAGGAATCACCAGCATGCTTACAGGCTGTGGGAGGACCTGCTGAGCAGCATGGCAGTGGAAAGGGATCTTGGAGTCATTGTTGACACCAAGATGAACATAAGTCATCAGTGTGACAAAGCAATCAGTAAAGCTAGCCGCACTTTATCATGCATTAGCAGGTGCATGACAAACAGGTCCAGGGAGGTGATACTTCCCCTCTATGCAGTTGCAGTTGGAGTCAGGCCGCAGCTGAAGCGCCTCCCTGAGCTCCCTGCCCTGCACGAGCTACCCCTGCCCTTGCCCTCCTGGCTCCTGCACTAAGTGCAGCCCTGGGGCAGCCCGTGCCTCACCATGTCTCAGGCCACAGTTGGAGTACTGCATTCAGTCTTGGGTGCCACACTTAAAGAGGGATATGGACAACGTCAAGACGGTTCAGAGGAAGGCCACTCATATGGTTAGGGGCCTGCAGGCAAAGCCCTATGAGGAGAGATGGAGGGCCCTGGCTCTCTTCAGCCTTTGCAAGAGAAAGCTGAGAGGTGATCTTGTGGCCACCTGCAAATTCATAAGGAAGGTAGGGTAGAGCAAGGAACAGGAGATGCTCTGTTTACCAGGGCATCCCTTGGAGTAACTAGAAACAGTGGCCACAAACTGACAGAGAGCAGATTTAGGTTAGACATCAGGAAGAACTTCTTTACAGTAAGAGTTGCCAGAATCTGAAATGGGCTTCCAAGGGAGGTGGTGCTCTCCCCCACTTTGGGGGTCTTTAAGAGGAGGCTAGACATGCACCTGGTTGGGATCTTCTGACCCCAGCGCTCTTTCCTGCCCAGGGCAGGGGGTAGGACTTGATGATCTGTAAGGTCCCTTGTGGCCCAAACATCTTTAAATATCCAGGAAATCTATGCTTTTCATTCTGAGATACTTCCCCGAGCATTCCGATCCTGCTGTGATGGATGCCCTTGAAAGCACAGGTAAGTTAGATAACAGGCTCAAGACTTCTATCCCTTAGCCTGCCACATATGGAAAACACTGATTTATCAGCAGTCACAGGTCATTCAGGGAGACCTGGAACACAACCATGTAGCCATTTATCCAGGAAAAACTCTGACTGGGGTAAAGCAAGGGTTTCCAAATTCTTCTCATAAGAACTGCATTCACATGATATTGTTGATGTAAAGCTACAGTTCCTTGCTTTGGCTCCAACTACAAACATTTTCATCAGTCAGTAATTACACTGAACACTTTACTGAAAGAATAAGAGTTCTTGATTTCCGTGGATTGTACAATAGCAATTTGAAATAGCAAGATCAAGTTATTTTATGCAAATAGTCTTATATAAATCACAGATAAGGTAATTTAATCAGACTCTATTCCGAGTCTCTCTGGTCCCAACTCTGCTGTCAAAAAAAAATGAACTGGTATAACTTAAAAGGGAGTTTGGGACAAATTTTGAGCCCCATCATACAGGTAGAAATCTAGAGTAACTCCACTCTACCATGTGAGATCAGAATATAGCCCCCACTCTTTAAAAATAATTATCCAGTTGCAGTGGGTCATGCCCAATTAATTCTGAAGTCCTGGAGCTATTTTGTTCACTACTACTGAAATATATAGGCTTCCCATTACAAAAAGAGTGGTGCTCCTTATTAGCCTGTCTAAGCGCTCCTCATTGCTCTGGAATTGGTTTGGAATGTGCTATTTGTATATGCTACATAAAATATTATCTCAAATCAGTGTAGAAAAATTCAGCAATTATGATTTAAGCTCACAACTGCTCCATGCAGATGCCAGAACTGTGTATACCCAGGAAACAACTCTTCTAAGAACTAAGAAACAAAGAAAATGAACAATAAGTATTTCCCATCCAGAATCTATTTCCTTGTTGGATTCGTTACAGAACCAAGAATCCTGGTTCAAGATTCTCCACTTTTAATTACAGCACACATATGCCTCTTCTATTATTAAGACAAATTTAATTTTAACTACTAATGAGCTCCTGAAAACAAAGGTGACTGAACAGTTACTTTTATAACAGTTAAAATGACAGAACAGAAAACGACTGTGCTGTAGAATCCTTAATAGTTTGTTTGCCACATATCTGTAACTGTGACTCACCTCTGGTTCAAAATGCACCTCCAGTTTCTCCTGGGTTTTTTTGACCACCTGCCCAATACCACGGCTTAACAGCGAGAGATTAGGCATTTTTTGTTTGTGACTGAGCAACTTCAGTGACCTATCATCTTGCCTCTAAAACTGTAAATTTGTTTTTAGAGCAGTCAACCAGACAGTTTTGTAGACATGATCTTTGTTATGAAATATACTAAATCATAAATCAGCTCCTTATCAATGCACAACTCCAAATAGCAGAAGAGCTGGGTTAGGGTCCTGGAGTCCTGAATCTCCTTCACGGTTTGTAGTGGAAACAGTTACTTTTTCTCCTGCTTGTCCTGCGCACTTGTTCCTTCTGTTCTGGTTGCTTTGCAACATCTACTGATATGTGAAACACCACCATCCTTTTTACTGTGATCAGAGGTTGTTTCTCTGTTACTATGGCAGCAAAGGAAAGTTGCTTAAACCAGCAAGAGGGAGATAGTGTGTGAGAGAGCAGAGATTCAAAGGGCCAGGCTCAGGTTTCATTATTTGTTAACCCAGTCTGACAGAGACAGACTGGTTAGTGCTGGAAGGGACCATTACCTGGGACATTTTATATAATACTCATCACTCACATATTTGTGTGCGTGTCCATGTACAACTCCGCTAACTTCATTTTTGTGGTTTTCAGCTTTTTATTTATATAATGATGTAATGTTAGAATAGGAAAAAATTCACCTCTACATTAAGCCATAAAAGAGGGAGGGACCTGTAATGTGAAAATTTGTTCTCTAGACTAGTGCCTATACTTGTGATCTGTCTGCTTCTTCTGTGTGTACACACACAAATTCTTAAATTCTTTGTCCTTCATTCTGGTGCAGGTTTCTGTTTCTTTGACTTCTTTGTTAAGGTACCCAGCTTACATTAGGAATTTAAGAGGAACCAGAGGGCAGGGAACAATCATTGGGTAAAAGTAAATTCTACTTGTAAGAGTTGGACAGTGTACATATTGAACCCTCCGACAAGGGACTAGGGCATAGGAAAGGGACATGAAACAGGTACCTGGAGCCAGTAAGTGAGGTAAAGATCAAGATCAGAGGAGGGGTCTGAGGGGCGATTTGGATTTGCTGGAGTGACAAAGAACCACAGGGTAAAGGGAAAGGACTGAGGGTTGAGGAGCAATCTAAAGAGGATCTGATGAGGTTCTGGGGGAGACCTGGGAGTGGCTTGTTAAAGAAAAGAATCAGATAGAGATACTGGTATGGAATAAGAAGTCTGAGGAGGAAGATTGGAACTGGGAGCTCTGGAGCAGAGGCAATGATAAAATTCAATTCCTCAGGTCATCTGTCTGAACCATGCGATCATCCTTTCAATTCTGCACACCCCTGCCTTATTCACATCACTACTTCTATTCCCTTCTATTATCAGCAACAGTGGGTACATCTACACATGCATTAATGTGCTTTTTCTAATGTGCATTAAATTTTGTACCTCCAGTGTGAGGTACCAAATAAATCTGCATTAGGTTGCCCTAACGCACACTACCAAAAGCGCACTTTTTAAAGTGATGCTTCATGCACAGTAGCCTATTTTACTGTGTAGTAGCATATTTGCACAGTTTTTATGTGACACTTTAATATACAGTAAAATAGGCTACTGTGCATTAAAGTGCACGTACAGATGCACACAGTCTCTTTCACTATACCATCCTGTTTCATTTCCAGAGAATGTTTGCTCTGTGTCCTGAATGAGGTCTATGGAAAAAGCAACATGTGCTTATATAATTGAAGATGGTATCACAATGCTCACATACAAAGGGAATCAAAATAATATTAGAGAGATTACTATAATTCTGACATTTTCTATCACTTGATTTTACAACTTTAACTGTGTTCTTTTAATTTGGTTTTTATGCAAAATAATTTATACACTATTAGGTATGTGCTTGAAGTCTTTGACCAAGGACAAAATAGAATAATCTGGGAAGCTGATAAGGCCAACTCTTACCTCACTCTTCAGTCAGACAAGTATAGCATCATTTGTGGCACTGAGGCTAGATAATTGGTGTGTAGGATAATCTAACCCACTGAACAGGTTCACGTCTGTTCACTACCCTAAACACAAAATCATCCTGAGGTCACCTGAAGTGTTATTCAATCAATAAGTGGCACTTTCCCACTGAGATCCCCCTAAACTGAGATCCTGTGGTTAAGGGTTGTGTGGAATCCATGACAAGGCTGGGCTATAGTTCTGATATGCTGCCAAATTCTGCTGATTGAAATTCCTTCTGTAGATGCAAGTTAGGATAGTCTTCACTGCTTAATCTTAACTGTTTTGCAGCATTTAGTATTCACTGTTTTATTGGAATCACATAATGACCTTCAGCTGTGGAAAACACTCCACTTTTGAGATGATCGTGCAGTAGGGCTAGGTGCAGCAATCTGCACACGTATTCACCTGAAGGAACTAATCCTGTGGTTAGACCTTAATCAGGCCACTCCAATTGACTGCAATAAGTTTTCTTAAATTGGAACTGAGTAACAACTCACTATAAACCATAAGAGTTTGGTCAAGCAGTTGGGAACTATACGGGACAGAAGGTGCTCAATTTTAAAGGGTATGTTGTTTAGTACTACAGTATGCTCTATGTATTTTGCCAACTAGAAGGTTGTGCTACTCCTAGAGATGCACAATATGGCCATGAATAATTATTAACAGGAATTCAAGAGGAGTCTGACAAATGACAATGAATATTATAGGCCTCACTAAACTCAGAAGCACTCCACTTAGAATGTTGAATGGAAACATTGGGCTTGATTTTCTGTTCTCTTTTTGTGCAGGAATGACGCAGGGTTTTAAATTCTTACTGTTCTGTTCCTCTTTTGAGGTCAACGCAAGCTATGCTGAATCCCCAGAGTTGGTTAAGATGGCCCAAAGGGTGCTATAGGTCCAGATTGCTATAGTCACATGGGGATTTCTGACAGCTGGACCACAGCTGTGATCTACATGTGCCCTATATTCTTTTGACCACAACCTCCACATTTACAGACTGTAAGTACAGCTGTTTTTCTGGCTTCTTGTATTGAAGACTCCCTGCAGTGGTAGGTATCTCTAGGGGCCAGATACCCTGGAGCAGAACAAAGGAGCAGTAATGGAATAAGGAACCTGGTGTTGGTCCTTTGGGAATTCTGCTGTTCTCACTTAGGCTACCAAATGGGAGCAGCTAACAACCTGTACTGGCTTTGAACTGGCAAGC